AGGCCGTGTATTCAAAGCCACAGTGAGGGCCGTTCTGCTCTATGGTAGTGGGACTTGGCCCCTTCGGTCTGAAGATCTGAGGCACCTTCAAGTCTTTGATCATCGTTGTCTGCGAAGCATTGTTGGTGTCGGATGGCACCAGCGTGTCCGCAACGATGATGTGCGTAGGTGGGTTCTAGGTGGTGGTAATCATGCTAGAACAACATGCTAGAACAACAGATAGCACTGAATAAGTTGCGTTGGTTCGGGCACGTGCTACATATTCCTAGTCACCGCTTACCTAGGAGGGCCATGTTTACTTTGCCAGGTGTAGTGTGACGCAAGGCTCGAGGTGGACAGAAGTTGACTTGGCAGCTGGAATTGAAGTTATTGACGACCAGACTGGGTGCCGTTGGTCCGTTTCGCCTTCCGGGCTGGAGTCCACTTGACTCGCCTTGTGTTTGGCTCGAGACTTTACAGGACATGGCTCGCAACCGACACCAGTGGCGCGTTCGTTGCCGTCTCCTAGTCGGGTGTCCTGTTTAAAGTGTGTTTGGTGCTTAGTTATCTGCGGGGTAATGGCTGATTATGATGCGTGGCAGTGAAGGCCGCAAGGAAGCTGTCTCGCCGATGCCGCCTTATCTTTGCATGATAGCCAGCTGTTTGTGACAGTATGTTGTTAACACAAGGTGTAGGCGCCTTGATCCTGAATGTTTGCTTAGGGCATTAAGGTTTTCGGGTAAGTTTTCCTTCTCTCTCTTCTTATTCTTTATTTCATAGGTGCTCATGGTTGTATGGCAGCGAAGCATCAGTTCAAATGGCTGATGTACTGCTATTGTTTTTGTTACTACGACTGTCGCATTCTGAACGTGGACCTCTGACAAATGGTTGCAACGACAGTGCAGCTCCAGTCGATTTGGGTAGTTTTTCGCTCGCAGAGTTTCGATAACAAATAGTATAAATCATACGCAAGAGCTGGTCTACTAACTTTGTAGAAGGCTGGTATAACAACACCTAGAACCACGGTTTTATTTGAATTCAGCAGTCCGATCTCAACTTCGGCCTCTGTACGAGAGGGCAGATTCAAAGGGACGGTTAACGGAGCACAGCGACAACTGGTCTACGGTATAGCTGATATTCCCGGAAGATTAAATCGCTTATCAAATTGCTCAGTTCTATCGCTCCAATCGCTTTGACAGGCTATGCACTCTCGTCGCATATGGTTTCACTAACAAAAGGTCTTTTCCTGCTTGATTCTCGTATAAGACGGAATAACTTCCGATAGTTATCGATGGCAGTGGCTGTTTTCATCTCCAACGCACGATGAGACCACTAGATTTTACGTTCTCTCTTCAGACGGACACTCAACTATACTATGAATTCTTCGCGAGTCTCGGCGTTCGCTTCCAGCCGGAACACGTCGACAATCATCCAGAAGTTACAGAAGCTGCGTAGAGACCCAACGTCCAGGTTGGTAATCAGATTTAATATGTAAAGACGCGCCTGTGACTAATGTCCGGTGCGACCAATGACCCTCATCTGTGTTCAATGGGCGCTTGCTCAACCCGCATGCTAACTTAATTTGACACGTCTTGAAAACATCTTTCTTCTATAGTTGGCAAGTGTCTATGCGCTCACAGCGTTGTCACTGGCGTTCACCGAAACTCACTCGGAGATCAGCGCATGCTATTGCATGATTGGAGTCCACACTTGCGTCCCAGTTCAGGTGGCAGTTTTGAGTGCAACCTCTCCAGCAGTAGTTGATCGCGTAATGATCGATTTGCGACTGGTCCGAGATTGGTGTTCACCACGTCACTCTTTCTGCGGGCACTGCTTCGAAAGTGAGTGCTCAGGAGAAATAGCCGCGCATCTTCACAGGGGGTAGCAACCGGCGCCTGCACCTTTTCGGCCGCTCAGATGAAGCTCATCAATGGACAGTTTTCCAGCACTTCACATCCATACTGCAACGAAGAGACTCATTAAGTTGACGATGGAAGTCATCTAGCATGGAGCCATCGCCACAGTTAATGGGTACTTAGGCAGCAATAACAAATAGGTACCTATTGGCCCCGTGCGGCTTCGAGCCTTTGCACGAATTCGCTAGTCGGATCCAGTCGTTCAGAACAGCTTCAGCCCTGGAGCCCAGAGCGAAACCCATACCCGTTCGACTGACATTCGAACATGCATTATCAGTGGGTGGACGCCAGCGTCGCATGCAAGTGCTCGTAGATGGAGCACAGAGCTAGAGATTTGCGGGCGGGTTTCAGAGAACCAGCAGGTATCGATCGATTGGGTCACTTCAGATGTCATTTAGGTGGTTCCTTTCACTCTTTCAACAGCTGTACGTGCTGATGCCTCACCATGAATCTACTGATTGACTTATAATCTGGTAGATTAGTTTGGCAGCCTATCCAGGCCGTGGATCGAAGACTTGCGTGAGCAACACAGGTGCAAGGGGTATTTGGACAATCTATTCCCCTGTCCCTCAGCCTGATCGCTGGGCTGAACATATCACAGAGCCACTGCTCTCAGGTAACGGCATCGTGAGCTGACCGTAAGAACTGTTGACTATATTAGTTCGGACCAAAAATAACCTGTTGTGCATTGGCTATTAAATTAACTAAAATGTGTCCTGACTGATTCACGAAATACTTAAGTTGTGCTTTTCGATCCATCTGAATTGTATGCCCCTTGGCACAGATCCATCAGTGACTCCAAAAATCAAACGATTAGCCCCGATAATTTTAGCTCGAATGATCGTTACATGTAGCCTCGTTTTTGGCGTCCATCTATTCTGCGTGTGTCTTCGAGCCGATGGACTGTGATGCGAACTTTCTCAACTGGCTGGCTTTGGTTACACGCAATCAGTTTCACTTTAGCACACTTGTTCCCAGCGTCGCACTAGTCGGCGCACCGGTTGTGTTGACGGATAGCGGCACGCGATGTTGCTGGAACTTCGTCTTACCTTGCAGTGAATCTCGGAGCAATTTGCTCACTGGGATGCTTGTTAGCTGTTACTTGTTTCCCGAACTGCAATCTGCCGCAAGTTTCCTTTTCATTCGAACTCAATGCAAAGTCTTGGCTAACGCCCAAGTTATAATCTTATTGTCCGTCAATTAACCGCATTGTCGACACACTTAACGTAAGAAGACAAACAAGCACTGATGGAGAATATATGTCCAAGCATGAAAATCCGGAGGGATTAGCGTGGTACAGTGGAAAGGAATGAACGTTACAGTTCAGGATAGGATCAGTGACGAAATTAAATATGAACAGTATTAGTTGCAGTTAACAAATATGTATCAACAAAGGGGGTGAATTCGTTTGTAGGTAGCCCTCACAAAATCTCTCCTTGGGCTTGGATGCTTGTATGACCACTGTCGTGGATCCAGCTGCACGGGTACACGCTGCTGTCTGATTCGACTCGTCCATCTTCTTGGTTTTTAATCAGCTAATTGGTTGGGTGGTTTTTTCCTTGGTTTCGGATATTTGCAGGACCTGAAAAGTATCCACGAGAATGTCGTTAGTTAGGTCAGGATTACGAGAAGTTGTTTGGCCGAGAGATGAACGCACCTGGTTGGCATCGCAGACCCATATTGAGGAGTGTACATCTATTTCATAGGTAATCTGCCCCGTGCGGCTAACATTCAAACCCTGCGTCCACTTTTCATTACCATCACACTAATCCTTAGCCAACACAGATTAACCGACCTGAAATGTATGATTCACGCGGCACCGTACTGACCGTTGAACGGGTTCTTCATGCAGATGTTTCGACCGATCGGCATTCGTGAGGCTGCTCGAGTGACATCGACAGGCAAGCGTAGCGGGGGCAAGTTCACTTGCAGACTGTCCTTCCAAGAGCGCCGAAAGCCACAGGTTCGATGCTGCCTGCTATCTCTGCCTGATGCGATCGAACTAGTCGTGGAATGCAGTGTTTTTGAGGCGAGTAACAGCGTTCATTCTGACTATTTGTTTAAAGTCACCGATCTTTCATGCAGCCACTGAACATTTTCTTCGCACATTTTCTTGATTGTCCAGCTTGTCGATCCTTCTGTTTATGCTAGCGTTCACACTTGTGCTTGCTCTTGAGCCATATTTAATCCTGAAGGTTTACCAGCTAAATGGGGATTCTCGATGTCTGTTCTCACTCTCAACCTTTAACATCCATTGTGGTCACATCTGAATCAGCTGAGCGTACACCATCCCACTGTACATGAGTCTGGGTCATGCCGGTGGTTTAAACCCATACCTTACATACAGCGGTCGACAAGGTGGTTACTCTCTCCTCATTTGGTTCCATGCTCCTTGCGGTTGTTTCATCGATTTGACAATACCGATGCTGAGTCATCCTTTTATACGGCATTCCTCATTTCCATTTTTCTATTTAATGTGCTTGTTCCGACTACTAAAGTGTAAACAGCTCTATCCATTACACTTCTACACTCCGGTCAGATTTGGATGTTTGACCTACAACGAATCGCCACCATTGTCCGAACAATGCTTCCTCATTACTAATGTGGATGGATGAGATGTTCCTCATCTCTAACAGATAGGATGCTGAAGATCATTGTGTTGTAAAATTTGACGGTTATTTCACGAGGTTACCTGGGCATGTAACCTGGACTACGCTTTCCTCTCTGTGCTATTATTGTTATCGTTGTACTGTTGCCGCCGCCGCCGCTGATGATGATGGTGATAAGCACGATGAAGTGTGTTTATACTCTCTGCGTAGTCCTCGACGGACACAAACTAGTCCTCCCCTTCCACTTTTTAGTTTGCAGCTAAAACAGCACCAAATGAAGCGAGTACCCTTCACACTATTCCACGGTTTGTTCTGGGTCACCCGGAAAATAGTGGTATCTCATCAGGACACGTCTCCGTATACTTTGAGTTAGTCCATAGCACATCTATGGATCATTTTTGGTAACTAATGCCACACATGCTGTTTGCCTTCCTATCAGACTGACCGATTCAACAGCTTATTTCTCATCCACCTCTCCCCATGTCATTTGTTTCAGGTTCGTGCAGCCGTTCTCCGCTGTGATTCTCCTCCAAAGCGTTGTCATGATTGTGGCCATGTTGGTTATGATGCGTTTGACCGCATCTGTTCTCAGTTTAGAATGTCAATTCGTACCCTCTCTTCTGAGTCACAAACCGTTATCTCCGGCCCTCAGGCGTACTCTATGGGGTACGTTTCATCCCTCTCTGGACATCGCTTTTTCTATCACATGAATCTATGTGTATCCACATGTTTGGTACCCACTTGCTCTTGTCGATAGCTATTTATGACGGATTGCAATGGATCTAGTTGTCAAATCACACATTGCGGTTACTAGGGCAATCAACGATGTGAAAGTAGACGATATGGTCTTCGACAAAGGTTACAAAAACTCATCATTGTACGATTAAACTTGTCTTTGGAAAACGGGGGCGAGTTCAGCGATGATAGAGACCCCTTGTCCCCACAGTGTCACACAATGTTCCAAGCCACGGGTGCGAAGCCCCTCTGATGTTATCTGCTAGGAAGAACAGGTAAAAGCACATCTCTTGCCCTCGGACGCTGCTTTCATTTTTCCCATCATTTCTCCTCTTGCTTCCTCATATTTTTCCAGTCAGGTACGCCATTAGTTGTGTGGTCAACAGACATTTGATACATGTTACCTAAGACCAATATGAATGACGCGACTCCAAGAGCTCGTTACAATAGCCACTCGGCAGACTTGGGCCCTGTCCACTTGATGCTGTTATCATATATCGGTTCGACTTCATAGATAATGTTAGTCGATGACCGGAAGTTGTTCATTTCATCCAAGGCACAGCTAATATGCGTTGTTACTACCGACGTTGCAGCATTGCACATTTCACATCTAATCAGCAACTCGCTCTTCCACCGTCTTTGTACTGTTGTCATAACATCGAAAAGCTACTCTGGCTTCTGACAATTACAGCAGCTCGTCCGACACTTCGCCCACAGCATGTGACATTGCTACTTATATAGGCGTGTTATTTCGTTATTCGTTAGTTTTTCGACGCATTCTCTCCCCTCAGTTAACCCTCGCACTTTAAAAGTACGGTGTGCACATCGAAATGTGCTGCTTTTATGGAGGTTGGGCCATTTACTGGCCGACTACCATAGCTACTGCAACGCATTCCACTTTCGTCAGTCAATTTGCACTTCAGTTGAAGTACACGGAAAGGAATCTTTAGTAGTCATTTCGATTGCAAAACTTGACGAAAAGAGATTTAAGGTAGCCGAGCCACACCCTACTTGCTTTGGTGAACTCAAATAAGTTCCTTATATCCTAAGTCTCGTCATAGAAGTTTTAGTGTACGTCTTCTTTGACACTACCTTTAATGAAATGCCTTATAACAAATAAATTTCCGTTTTTAACTGCCGACCGGGGAGGTTATTTCTCTGTTTTGTTTCGTGGCACTCTTTAGCTGCCCTCAACAATGTATGTATATGGTCGGGGAGTGCCCCGTGCTGAAGCTGATGTTGCATTCATGGTGCTTCTTCGCCGTTGTTGGGCTAAACCAACTTACACTTAAACTAGGTGTTTTTAAGCTGGAGAAGTTTCATTCCACTTTATTTGTTCTGCGTACCTAAATAATCTATTAACTGACCACGTTGCTTACACTAATTGTGGTTATCTTCGTCAACTTTATTACATTTGTAACATATTTTGAGTAACTTGTAGACATTTTGTACTTATCGCGAATTCGTTGCTAACCAACTTACTTCATGTGTTAATTTAGGGAAGAGTTATGTCTGCATAGCCGTATTCTTTAACAGATATATTTCATTTGATAATGTCATTTCAAGTGATTGGCTGTTGTTTGACATCCCCGGTGTGGCTGTGCTTGATGTGCATGTTGACAAGGTGCCTACCTGTCTAATACCCACTACCTCATCTTTACTGACTCCAGGAGACAGTTGATCGTTGCTGGAGGGGACGGGGTTCACGATCCTTGTGGCCGTGCTAGGCTCGAAATGTGGTTCCATGCACTCAGTGTGGAGCGGACTGCGGTCTTATTTGCGATTGATTCCCAAATACAGCGTGCTTGGGTTTACTTGTGAAGGGGTGTGTGCCGGCTCCGTTGATGAGCCGTGGCTCCCATCCACATGCCTCCCGGTCTTATTCTTTCGGGTTCACACTGGATATGGTGTGTGTGGTTGGAACTGTGGGTGGTGCAGTGCAAGCCACCCATAGTCCCTCTGTAGGCGCATGCGTCCTGTGGCTGGCCACAGTGACAGGCAAATCCGAAACCGGATGCCGCCAACCATATGATCGGTGCGTCCCCTACCACCGCAAAAATCAGCTCGGTTTTCATTCCGTCGGCTTTTACAAGAATCAGTGTGTCAATGAAATGCACTAGGTTTTGGTATTTTGGAGGTCATGCCATTAAGATTGGGACTTCGATGATTTAGACGCTCCGTCTTTTCGACTTATTGTTAAGGACTGGTGCCTCGTTAAATGGTCATATCTCCCATTAACCATAGTGTATTGAAGCCAGTGGTTGGATCAACCGCCATCTACTCGCCACCATACTTCAGCATCTATCTCGAGGTGTGCTCAAAACCAATGCATTAATTTTGCTCGGCCGCACCAATTTCTTTCTGCCGCTCCTCGTTTTGTTGACAGATTGCATTAATCTATAATGTAGCTTCAGATTGCCCAGCAATCCATGAGGGTATCACGGTCAGCTTGAACCTTTCCTTCAGTGATCTGATCCATCTTTCATACTGATCGACTTACGGTTGGGTTAAATGTCCGGGCGTTCGTTTCATCCACCTAATCCTTTTGTAACCAAGTGTTTTAAATGTGCGGTGCGTTGGTGCGATTGTCACCTGATGGATTCAACTTTTTCGCCTAAATCAAAGTGGTCAGATTTACAGAAATCCACTTATTATTTTGGAATTTCCGGCTTGATACACTGCTGGCCCCAAATGCCTCTTACGTCGCATATTAAGATTGCTTCCGTTGCTCCTTAAGTCCGTTCATGTCACTTACCATTGACAGCTAATGTTCCAATTCAATACACTGCCAGCTTCTTTGACTGGGAGTCTAACTTGCACCCAACGATCTTTGCTTTAACCGGTGTACTCCTGTCACACCCTAAGGCCTTAAATAAATAAATAAATGAATTTTATACTCTCGTTTTCGGCGAGACACATCTGTGACGGCATTTTCAGGTAAATAAAAGCATTTTCTAGTTCATCCACCACGAATGATCGAAAAATGTACAAGAGTAATGTAAATCGTTTTCCAATTTTGATAGGACATAAAAGTTGCCTGTTGTTTCAATGCGTTACCTTAAAGGAATCTATGTGATCCGGTCCGAGCAACATTCTTGAGCTCTAGCGGGTCATATTTACCACCTTATCTGAAGCTCGACATGAACCTTTGTACTCACATTTGCGTAACTATTTTTCCATCAGTCGCTGAGATGCTAGAATGGCGTGCTCTGTAGGGTGATGTGGCTGTCTGAATAGATTATATCCGAAAACTCGGTATACACGATTTGTCAAACCGACCTATAGATGCGCTGTTGTTGTTTTCGACGAGATTGAGCTAATCGATTTGCCGTCTCATTTAAGTGCTTATGTACTTTGTGGAACCGACCGATTTCTCTTTATACCGGACACTTCTTGCTTCGTGCCCACCATTTCGTCTGATCATCATGATTAATACACGTTAGTTGTTAGTGAGAAACACACCTCACTTAAGATGCTGCAATACGAAAAAATTACGCTACAACAAATTTCAAAACCAAGTAATATAATGTTAAATATTATATTATGCACTTCGTAGGAGATTGGAATTAGAGGGGAATCTAAAAGGGATTTAGTGGACACAGGAACTCATAACACAAACGCCACTGGGGCCTGCTCTTCGCCATATCAGCAAGTGTGTCCAAACAACCGTGTTCATCGTCCTTAGGAACCCTGCCAGGAGTCGGTATGCACCAAACGACGCCAGCTTCGAAGTGAGGGATTTCATTCCTCTTGACCGAGTCATCGCTTGACCACCCCACTTCTTCCATCCAGACCCCAGACGTGCAAAGAACGCACCTCGCGGGAGTCAGTGTGCTGGTATGCGCAACACGTGCCCTATCCATTGTAGCCTGGTACGTGATATAATGGTACTGAGCGATTCACCCGCTCCTCCTGCACCAAACGCACGACGCCGAACACACCCATTGCTCACGCGGTGCTTCCACCAGACATGAGTTAAGCTGCGAAAGCAGCGATGATCGAATGTGACTTTTCTCTTTATGTCTGTCGATCTGTTGACAAGATTACACAACCGTATAAGAGGATTGAACGAATGGCTGCATTTTAAACTGCGAGAGTGATGCCGCGTCTGCACCACAGGTGGCGGAGATTGGCAAAAGCACCTCGAACTTTTGCTATACATTTCGTAACCTCATCTTCTATCCCACGGGTGATAATATAGCTGCCCAGATACTTGAATTCCTGAACAACTTCCAGTTGATCACCACCAAGGGTCAGCGCAGAGATTGGTTCCCACCAATGTTGGCGAAGGACTGCGACACAATAGCTGAGGTGTTTTTCACCGGCAGCTAACGTGTGCATTGATGAATGATGATGATTGTTGAAGGATTTCGCATTTCGATAGAGCAAAGCATAGCCAAAAACGGTTGACATGTAGCGCCAGTCGGTCCAGTGATGCTTGGCACGTTTGCCAAAATCGTCCCCATACTCCAAGCCAAGAAGTCGCTCACCAGGAAGTAGCTCCACACCTTCTACTTAGTGTCCAGCGAACGCTGTTTTCATGACTTCTTCAATAGCGAAGTTAAAAAGGAAAGGGACAGCGGGCAACCTTGTCTCACTCCGCTGGTGATATTGAAGGACAGTGGAAGTTTGCCCATAAACCCTCACTCTGCCCGAATTACGGGCATACAGCGCTTTGATAACGTCTACGTATTTATCGAACACACCTTTCCTCAACAGACAGTCCCAAAACGCACATCGATCCACCGAATCGAAGGCACCTTATATGTCGAGAAACACGACAACGGGGGGTCACCAATAAACACAACGTTGCTCCAACGATTGACGCAAAGTGAAGATGTGGTCGATGCAGCCCTGACCTCGACGAAACCTGGCTTGCTCTTCGCTTATCTAGCTTTCACGAGTGACAGTCAGAATGTAAAGAACGACAG